GTAAAGGATACAACATACTCTTGCTTTAGTGACGTTGAATTGAGCTGTATTGGTCCATCATACGCACGGACAGCGGAAGATTACTGCCGCTAAGCAAACTCGCGATGTTTGGAGGTATGATGCCGGCCCCTGGCGGCGGTATCCCTCCCGGGGGTGGTGGAGGAGGGACACCCCCGAGCGATGGCAGAGGCAGCCCAGGATGTGGCAGGTTGGGTATTGGTGTCGGTACCGGCGGTGTAGTCGTAGGCGTGCCGCCCAGGAGACCGGCCATGCGCAGACCGGCGAGCAACGCCATCGGATCCGGGGTCGGTGCCGCGCTAGGCTGTCGTGACGGCACGGCCACGGGCGGCTGAGGCGATCGAATCGGCATGCCGGCGTAAGGCGGCGGAGCTGGCGCCGGCGTTTGCGCCTGCGGCGTCGCAGACTGTCGAGCCAAGAGACTCGCCAGCGCGCCCTGGCCAAGCAGAGAATCAAGTGTGACTGAGGCTGGCTGCGGCGCTATATGCGCCACGGGTGCAGGCGGCGGTGGGTGGTATGATACGGGCGTAGCAGCAGCAATAGGGGCAGAGCTTGGGACCGACTGTGGCCTCACTTTTAAAGCGAGATCGGCTACTTGATTTTTAATGAGGATCAAATGATCCTGCGGCATGTCCTGGGTTTGAAGCAACCTTTGTAAATCATGCAACCCCTGCAGCCTCGCCTTAATAACCCCATCGTGCGGATACTGCGCCGCTTCCAACGTGGAGGCGGTGATGAGCTCCTGGATGTCATGCTTCAACACGGCAATGTTCACGGAATTATGCTGCGACGGCGACGCCTGGAACGGTGTGGGGGCACCAGCAGTAGGCTGGAGGCCGCCATATGCCTGTGGTGGCTGCGCGTTGAGCGGTCAGCAAAAATGGTGCGGCATTCTGTTTCACAGGATGACTTACGGGATAGGGTGCCGGTGCCTGCTGTTGTTGAACGCTAGGTGGCCGGCTACCGTTGAGCTGTTGCTGTTGTGCATGAGGTGGCGGGCCAGGATATCCGGGCTGGCTCGATCCTGGCCTCATGCCGGGTGGTGTCGGCGTTGCCCTATGAATTCCTGCGCCACGGGCTCTACCCACGGGGTGTCCACGACCTTGCGCCTGGAGAGCCAAAGCTGAATTCCGCGCTTTGTTCAACGATTCCTCAATCGGCTTCGTGACTTCTGGCGGGAACACAGGCCTGTCGTCGAGCGACTGAGGCACAGGTTGCTTCCACGTCTGCAGTGTCTCCTCCATCTTGCGACGGACATGGCCGTCCACAGCAGCATAGGCCTCCATAAAGGTCTGGAAAAGCTGAGCTCCAAAGAATAGAGTGTAGGGTGTGCCGACGTTTTTAACGATTGAATCGAGCACATATATAGCAGGCAGCTTCTTGTGCGCCGGTGCCTGCGGACCACGTCAGCATTGTAGGTTCAAGGCCAAGTGTACCAGCGATTGAAGCGCAAAAAGTCTGCGCAATTTCGCAAGGTATGGCTTGCAGCTTACTTTAATGATATGCCTCTGGAGAATATCTGTGATGATCTGGGCGTGCTCGGTATTCTCTCGTGCAATGGTCGTCAACGTGCTGATGTCGGCCCTGTTGGTTGAGTTCAGATCCTCCAAAGCCTGCTTGTAGTCCTCCGCCACGTCGGCCCCCGACTGTTCGTTGTGGGACATGGCGATGAGCACGGAAACACGCTCTCCAAGAATCAGAAGTGATGCTTGCTATGTTGCAACTCGCTGCTTGCTCAGGATACGCTAAATGGCCGTTGGCCAGTTGGCAACGAATCCTGCCACTGGGCGAGCCAGAAAACACGTAAACTGTGATCACCGAAAACACTGGCAGGAAGGAAGATCTCCAGCCTATTTTGTATGGAAGAGAAAGAACGCGCGATGGCGCCCTCTAGCAGCACAGTAACGAGCGGCCTTATTGGGGACGAGAACGTGGAACAGGGCGCAGAGTCTTGCTTGCTTGCTTCAATTCTTGCGTCCAACCGGATCCTCCTGATCGAATCACCACCGCAGAAGCCTAACCAGTCCACACAGATCAACAAGATGCCGACAGGGAATCACCCTGCGGCTGTTTGTTCGGAGAGGTTGTCAAGATGACGGAGTTGTTGAGCTTCGAGTCGGAAGGCGCAAGCAAGGGTCGCGTGAGTGGCAGATCGTGTCGGGATCGGAAGTCGACGTAGGATGCCTGCCGAAAAGCAATGGCTCAATAATAGGAGCGCCGCTATTACACAACAGCGAGCACAATTACAGCTACAGCCGCGTCGGTGCTTGAGGCGAGTGGAAGTGAAAGGATGCTGTTGGGTTAGCTGTCGAGGTTGAAAGAATGGAAGTGGAGGCAGACGTCGCAAGAAGTTAGAGTAGCGACAGCTACCTGATCAGTCGCAGACACAGATGGAGCAGGTGACGCTAACTTGATCCGCCCTGCTGTCGACTTGCTTTGCCGTGCGCACATCACGTGAGCGGCCATGGACATCGTGCATACAGTGCGTATACTTCTTGATAAAATTCAAGCACTGTGCTTTCGTGGCGCAATATATGCCTTTGCTATGCAGCGCTTGACAAGCTGGCGCCCAGTATTTAAGCTTGTACGTCTCGAGCGTCAAAAGATGTCGAACCTGGTTATTGGAGTATGACAAGATTAAAAATCAGGAGACGCAGAGGGCACCTCCTACCTTTTTTTCTCTGCCGAAGCGTCAGCACTGGAATACCACCTTTTTCAGCATTGTACACCACTTGATTATGGGAACTGCAAAGGCTTGGTAGGACACCCATCGAAACTAGTCACCATCGAGCTCAACACAGGAATCTAGAGAATGACTCAAGTCTAAATCGACGTTACTATTCTCAAGAGCAGCGGAATTAAGCACACCCCATGCCTTCTGGGTATTCTGTAAAAAGTACAACGCTATCAAAGAAAGCCAATGTCCTGAACGCCGTTTCACTAGCCTCCCGTCCCCTCCTTCTCCCCCGGCCATTCGTCTAGAAGCGGTTCATGTGGCTCGCCTCGCTATAGCTCGTGAAGCGAGTGTTGATGGGATGCAGCGCTGTCGGCGGACGTGCAACATCGGGCATGATGGGGCTCGACCTGTCCTCAGGATAGGGGTTGCTATGCTGGTCGTCGTGACCCTTCGCCTCGACGTCATCGTCCGCGACGCGGATGGGCTTGCTGATCTTGAGCTTGCCGCTGGCAGCCCACGGGGCGATCTTCTGCGTGAGTCGACGAAAGGACTTTTCGTTGCGAACTGAGTTGGAGCGCGTAGAATAGGCGTCGGTGAAGGAGTTCTTTGTGGACGAGGTCGCGATGGCGCCGTCGCTGCGGATGTTGCGGGCGGTGATGCCGTTGTCTGAGTCGCGGAAGACCAGAGAAGAGACAATGTTGAAGAAGCCGAAAGTTATGGAGAGGATACCGGCCGCAAGAACGAGGCGCCACAGATGGGGGCCCATGTTCTTGGAGGTGACAGAACGACGGTTGAGGTTCCCCAGAATGTGGCACCCCATCACCACCATGGCGATGCCGAGCCAGGTTAGGCCGTGGTAGGGGGAGAGAACGGGCCAGCGTGTGGCAAAGTAGCGCTTGAAGAGGTTCAGCTCCGAGCAGATTAGGAGAGCTGCGGTGGCAGAGGTGAAGGCATGGGAGACAGCCTCGAAGAAGAAAAAGTTGCCCGTCAGACCAGACATGACAATGAGGACCCAACTCGCGGTGGCAACGGCGAGCAGACCTATAATGTTGAAGGCGCGGAAGACATTGAGGATCAGGTGGCCTGAGCCACGCAGACGGGAGTTCTCGGAAAGATTAAACATCTTAGAAGGCCTGGTAGGATGTAGCGGGTCTTTGGCATGTTAGTCAGGCCATGCAGCGCTGGAGTCAAGGTACCTTACGATATTGAGTGTACAGACGAGTCACCTAACAGATGGTTTGGGGAGCGATGGTATGCTTCAGTATACTTTTCTGTACTGCAGTTCTTGGTTGGTCGATGGTGATTGAAATGATAGTGAACGTTTTGGAAGCCAAGGTGAAGGTTATGGAAATTCAAAGTAGAGAGAGGATTGGAAGCCAGTCCAATGGCAATCTCAAAGAAGGTTATGGGTCAGCTGTACAATAAGGAAATAGAGGTCGAAGGAAAGATTGTCGTAGATCAGTGCATTGTTCAGGTCGTGAATAGACCAAGAACCTTTCTTTGCAAGGCAGTGGGAAGGAATTGTCGTGATGGCAGGCACCAAGAGGAGACAAAGGGAGTCGCTGCCTTTAATAGAGTTCATGCCTATTGTTCAGGACGCAGTCTCATTCGGGGCCAGGCTCTGCAATCGAGACAACCAGGAAGAAGAACAAGTTGTTTTCAGCACGTCACGTCCAATCAATTTGGCGGCGCGAAACAACTGTCGCCGAAAGCCTCAGGGGTATTGTCCGGGTCAGGCTCGCTGCACTCCCTGTCCGACGCGTTCTAGAGCCCACTTCAGCGGTAGCTCGCAAGTTCGATGCTTCCGCTTGAGTCACTCCCAGGCATTCGGAGTCCGGGCATGGTCGATGTCGGCGCGTGCTGTGAGGCAGAGGAACCGATCTCGACTCGACAGCAAGTTATTCGCATGATCAAAGGCAGCAAGGTGCGGCCAAAAGCCATGAGAAGCTGAGAAGAGCGTGGAGAGCTGTCGACCAATCGAGTCATCGGTACCTGGCCCGTCTTCGACAGGTTGAAGCTCTGGGCAAAATGGATTGACAAGGGATACGTGGGACGACGTCGAAAGAAGACTCATATTGAGCGGTTGCGTGGTTGTGATTGGATGTCAGCTCCATGCATCTCGTTTCAGGTCCGGCTCTAGCCCGACGACCGCAACCGCCGGCCAAAAACCCAACCTCAACCACATCATGCAGCAGATATTTCCGAGCTTCTGATGATGGAAGCACAGCATGCCACAATTCACGTCCACCATAAGGCCCCGGAATTTGATGGGAGAGGTGCCAGAGAACTCCCGTGGTCCGCATCGGGAACCGAAGCTTAGCTCAGCCATGCCATGGTGCAGCGGCTTGCCCCCCCCTTGTCTGTTCTGGCCTCAATTTGTGCGACAACCTGGGACAGACGACCGAAGAATCACGCTTGACAAAAAATCAGGATCAGATCGCGGGTCGAAGAGTGAATGACATACGGGCACTTGCCTTGGGGCATGCTCATGCATGAACACTGTGCTCTTTTCGCTGTGAAATATTCTTGCCGAGATCATGAGATCCTCTTCTCAGGGCGCTAAAGAGCTGGCGCTTCGAGGCGGCACTTGAGATTTCAGGTGGCTCGAGCCTTGCAAATTTCTAAATGGATCTATTATCGGCTACGTGTGGTTCAACAGCCGCGGTACACTGCTATTGTTGGAAAACCCTGCACACATCAAAGACGCATCCACTCGATCATGAAGTGCAGCAGTAGCGCCTTGACGGCGAGCTTGTTCTTTTCATGCAGTCAACGTCATTTGAGTAGACTTAACCTCGACCAAATAAACATGCGAGCCCACCGTCACGTTCACCAACATCACGACAGATTTAAAACAACCGAAGCCAATGAACGCCTCAGAATGGGATCTCATTTTCCGAGTATCTGAATTCCTGGCCTAGCCGGGCCACTCCATCGCATGATATCAAGGGCCAGAAGCAGGAGCCAATGTCGTAGTACCATCATCCAGGCGCGGTAAACACCATGGCCATCCTCATGAACCGGCACACAGCCTTTTCCACCACCCGGAACAACCGTTTCGCTAGCAGCCATGGCTGCGAGCTTACCGGTAGCGCCACAGGGAGAGGGTGTTGTGGCGGAGCCAAGTCTTTCTGCGGCCAGCCTTGGTCTTGTTGTAGCGGTGGCCCTTGTTGAGACCACGGGACTTCTTGCCGGTGGCGGTAAGGCCACGCTCCTCGCGGTGCTTGTGGACGGGGGCGACGATCCAGTTGATGCGGGGGTCGATGCGGATGGCCTTGTGCTGGGGGTCGACGAGGATGACCTCGTAGTACTTGTAGGTCGAGTCCTGGTTGATCCAGTAGGAGTTGAGGACGCGCAAGTTGGCGCAGCGGCGGCCGACACGGGACTCAGCGGTCGACTTGAGCGAGCGCTGGTACTTCAGCTGGTTGATACCCTGGTTGGTGGGCTTGCCTGCATTGTGTGTTAGCCATCTACCATCCCAACATCTCCTGACATCCGAGGTAACGTACCGAAGGTGGCACCCTTCTTGGCGGGCTTCTTGCGACCACCACGGCGGACGCGGACGCGGTAGATGACATAGCCCTGCTTGGCCTTGTATCCGAGGCGGCGGGCCTTGTCGGGGCGCGAGGGGCGCGAGGCGCGGTGAATGACGTTCAGTTGACGGAGCTATATTGATGCACTCTCAGCAAATGTTCAACGAGTGTATAGCAAAGACGGGAACGCCCAAAATGCCTGGCCCGCCGATGAGGAAAAATTAATTCCCTTTACGACAGGCCAGCCAGAAGATTGTTCCCGTCCACAGCCTTGTAGAGTATTCGGGTTTCATCGTACCTCCCAGCAGCGAACGCGGAGAAGGAAGAGCATAACATCGCTCTGCTTCTTCTTCTGAAGCTCCTCGACGTACTTAAGGGCACCCATTTTGGCTGTTCGAGGACAAAGGTTAGCCGCGAGTGTCGGAGTGGCAGACGAATACCACAAAAGGTGCTTGAAGGACTGAACAAACCAGCTTTTCACGTCAAATCCGGCCGCGGAGAGGGTGTTGTCGTGATGGTCGTCGAAATTTTGGACAGGAGGGACCGGGAGAGAAAGTTCGCACACAGGTAAGGTGAGGAAAATGGAATTGAGGCGGTTTGTGGGATAAGCGATACACTAGGTCATATTAGGCCTAGCGGGTCAGAACTTGCCCCGAGCCCGTGGCATACGGGCGAGAAAACAGAGTGGGTCGGCCCTCGGTCAAGAGGAGGGGCACCAAGGGTTTCACCGACAGGACTTGGCATTATCCTGACCTTGCACTCTTTGCAATGAGTTCTCACCTCGACCGGGTCATTAAACAGGTTGCAAGTTACAGGAGGGGAGCAGACTCTTTATTATTTCTCTTCACGATCCATTCGATTGTTGAAAGGCCCATTGTACACCTGGAGCTGTGCGCGTCCTGCTCATAAATGATTGGCCTCCTTACTAAGAAGAGTCTCAAATGCATCCAGATGCATCCTGGCAGTGCGTCCCCAAGTGTCATCCAACAGCGCCTCTAAGCCATCGAACATCTCGATTGCCATCAAGTCTGTGTCTTTGGCGTTCTCAGCATCTACCATTGGCAAGCGTGGCTGCAAAACAGGCTGCACCATCGTGCCCACCAATTTTTTGCCAAACTGATTACCGCGTTCGAGCATTTCTGACATGCGCTCGGCATCGTGCAGCCATTGGGGGTCGTCTATATCATCGCTGTCATCCGCTAGTTGCGTGTTGAACTCACGGTAGAGCTCCAGAAGTTGATGACATCGTTGCATAACCCGAGTGCCGACGGTGTAGAGCTCAGGCCTCGCCCTCGCATCTCCGACTGAAGACTGGTGAGGTCTTGAAGATGGATAGGTCTGGCTCAGCACAGCCAGAGCCTTTCCCTCTTGTTCCGTGCTGCTATGTATCAGCAGATATAGAGCCACGAAGATGTGTGCGAAGGTGCTCACCTCCTCTGTTTCCACTTGCCAACGGCCTCCTGTGTCTCCTCGAAGATGGTCGTTGTGCACTGTTGCACATCGGCAGACCAGGATCCTTTCTCCTGAAAGTCATGAGATAGTTGGGGGCTAGAGATGTGATCAATCGCATGCCTCCTCGTGCGGACACGTGGTTGACTGACTTGGAGCTAGAGGGGTCATCATGATCCTCGCGCCAGGACCTAGTTCCAGCTTTGTATCCTCTTCTTGACCGACTCTTATCATCCGCGAGAAGCTCTTCATCAACGTCGTGGGGTTTCGTGAGCGTGTACGCCTGTGATTCGATTGATTCCCTTGATACACCTGGAAGCGTTGCCCGTGCCAAGGTGCGAGCTCGACTGTTATCAGGTAGTGGTTCCAAGGGGGCACCCCCTTTGGCTGCTGGCCCAGTCAGAATCGACTCATCGTACGGGAGAGCGTTGAATCACTACTGACCCCTAGCGGTCGCTTTCTTCCTCGGCGGCATCCTCGTTTATTTCCCTGCCACGGCCTTGTCCCTGGGCCAAGGTAGTGATGTGGTGTTCAGGGCCTATCCCACCGCGCCAGCTTGCTTGACGAAGGGTGTATCTTGACAGAAGCTGTGAGCATACATGTGTACATTCGACCGAGTCACAGAAAGTGGCTTTTGTTGGGGTTTATCTGGAGAAGCTGTGGAAGGAAGATACCTAAGGTAGGCAAGAGAAGGTAAGGCAGGTGCTACCACTGCGCGCCTGCCCAAACGTGATTGGCATGCTAGAAGTCCCCTTTTCGTGACATCAGATATGCCAGACATGAAGACCGAGACCACTCTGACGGCATATGTGCTCTTACTCCCGCTGTATCAATCATATGAATGAATGGAGCGAGGGCGCTTATCCCAAGAAACAACTTGGCATAATTGTGGACGAAGACCGACTGTATGAGACAGTCAGACTTACGGAATCAAAACAGATTGGCCAACCTGCAGGCCGGGTGCCTTGCATGCTCTCGTCGTACAAAATTCAATTCATGCTGACAATATGGCATCCCCAAACGCCGATGTTGCTTGAAAACCTCAACCACAAGCAATGATGCCCCAATGCCCTTACTATGTACGCCCCCATGCGCGCTGAACGAAGCCAGCGCGCGGAAGACAAAAAAAAGAGACCCTTATGAAAGGAGAGCGTGAAGGCTGATCATGCATTATTGCGCTCAGGAGGGCCGTCTGCCGGCGTATCCTCCCCAGGCGACCCGTTATTCTCCTCCTCGTCGGTATCGTCCGAGATGTCACTGGAGTCGTCCTCTTCCTTACTTGGACCGTCATCAGTGTTTGAACCGGCTTGGTCGTCTCCCTCGAGAGCGTAACCTGGACATCGCTCGACGAGGCCGCGGTAATACGCCACCAGTACCTCCGGGTTCGGTACAATCTTCCAGTCGACGCGGTATAGAAACTCGAGCTCGAGGAGCTTGAGCTCGGCGACCTTGACACCGCCCACGCGCGCATATGTAGTGTTATTCCAAAACGAGTCGGACAGACCTTTGGCGGCGACGGTAGCAGCAGTGATGAGGAAGCGGTGCACCGTGAGAGTGTTGATGGTGAATTCGGGGTAGAGGGCGCAGAGGCGATCAATGTAGTAGACCATGGACAGTAAGAGCGGCGGCGTCAATGTCGCATGCTTGGCTAGCCGATTAAGGTACTCAAGGACGGATATGCTCGGCGCGGTTCTGTGCGCCAACTGGTGTGAGTGCACAACTCGGAATCAAAGTAATCGCGCATAGGTCGACTTACCTGGAATGAAACCTAGTCAGATTCCCAGACTGTAGAGCAAGCGCATCATTGGTCTCGATCAGCTCGGAGAGCATGTGGGCGATCAGAACCACCATGTCTTCGGTCGTGCCGAGTTCGTATCGTAGAGGCAGGACTTTCTGGGGCGCCGGTGCCGGCCTCTGCCTCTTAGGTGCGTTGGCGGCCTCGGTGTCAGCGATGCTGGAAAGATCGGTCTGCGCGTGAGCGCCATGGTCTTGCGACTTGCGACGCTTGCCGGGAGACAGCGTATTGTCGCTGGCTTGCCGTAGTGCAGACGTCTGTGACGCGGGCTCGTTGAGTATGGGCTGTTGGGTCCGTGCTACTGATGTTAAGGCTACTGCCGGTTCGGGCTGCTGAGTCGCAGAGGTCTGCGAGAGAGGCATGGGTGTGTTGACGGGCGGAGTTGTGTCGCCGCGCCGCGCCTGGACGGCAGTGACCGAGGAGACTTCCATAGGAGAGTATTGCGTGCCTGCGTCGACCGCAACATACCGCCTGGGCTGCGAGTGAGGGGATTGTGCTTGCGGCTGTGTCTGGCTGGGTTTCGGTAACTGCTGTTGCTGCTGTTGCTGTTGCTGTTGCGTGGGCGAAGTGGAAGACAAAGACTCTGTTGATGAATGGGATCGAGAATGTCGTCGCGTCAGGGAGGCCGATAGCCGGGAGGAAGGAGACTGAGGCGAGGAGCGGGTGGGAGCATAGTGGAAAGTGCTGGGTGAGGCATTGGCGGAGCTGTGAATCCTTGGGGATGTTGTCAACATGTTCGCCGATTCATCGTGGGGTGCTCCCGTCGACGAGAGGCCCCTTGTTCAGGTCGAAAAGAAGCGGAAAGTTTGGAGGTGAGGGGCATGAAGCAGAGGCGCTTGCATCGGACAGTCCCCCGGATGGAAAACGAGCAAAGCAGTGCAGGGCAAGACAGAAGAGCGTCGATCGGCGGGTGCCAGATTCCCACTGGGCGGGATCCAGGTCGGATTTGCGAACTTTCAGCGTCCTTGCGTGCCTGCCCCTCCACCGACTTGCGGTCGCGGCGGGCCTGGGGTGGCCTGCCGCCACCCCATTCGCCCCACTCCACATGGTGTCAACCCACACGGCACCGCGGAAATTTGGCATGGCTGGTGACCTGCCAGACAGGCCAGGCTCGTGGCACAATGCGGCGATGGTACTGGATGAACAGGACAGCACGCTAGAACCGACTGGGCGACTAAGCAGGCTGGGATTATGTACCCCAAGTTGCCATCTCGAGATCTGATCTCGGGTTTCCTTTGAGATGGTCGGGGGCCATTTGAATGTGCTTTTGAGACGTGCCGCCAATATTCTTCCCTAGCTCAACACATTGTCTCGCTGGTGAGGGTCATGCTAGACATACAGATAGATTGTCAATTTGTGGGAGGAACCGGGACTGACACCAATTCTGCCCAATGCTCGATTAGTGACACTTGGAAACCCTGCTCCGAACGGTTATCAGACGCGCCGACTCGTTCACCCACTCTCGACAGTGACGATGCGGCTATTCCGGCATGCCATCGCACCCCACGTAAAAAAAAAAAAACTTGCAAATCAAGGCTGGAGGGGCAGTGAACGTGCCCACCACGGTGGGCATAGCAGACCCTCACACGATGTCTATCTAAATGGGAAGCTTACCATTGTCAAAAGAGTGGATTGTTGGGTAAGACAAACGCAGTCGCTCGTCGATCGGCTCATCCAAAAAGGACTCCCGAGGTGGGACTCGAACCCACAGCCCTTGGATTGTTATGCTGATGCTTAAAAGTCCAAAGCTCTAACCAATTGAGCTACCCGGGACAACTTCTCGTAATCAAATTTGTTGAATCATCATATTGACGTAGCATTGATCCTTCAACGGATACTCGATCAAAAGGATCGCTTCCTAGGGCCATGATTATACTCGGTTCACCGTGACATTGTGAGAAGTATGAGTATTTTCCGCAGGCACTGCTGTTCCCGTAAATTTCTTCTCAAGTACAGGCATCCTATGTGTTGTCCGATCTGATACCTCATTAAGGCTGAAGTGTTCAGTCTAGGACAGGGTTCAATCTGTACAACTTTCATTAAAGCTCCGGTAATTACCTATGTGACTTGGATAAATTTTCTTACGCCTTCAGGCCAAGAAATGTCTTGTCATCGCTAGGTTGAAGACGTTGGTAGGGAGGGTTGTTCAATCCCAGAGTTATTAGCACGAAATCTGGGGTTCTTGGGGCCAACATGGAGTGGGGCCGCTGCCGTTCAGTCTCGGTGGGGGTGGTCCAGGATTAAAGTCTGTTTGAGTTGCGATGGCACCCCATCGACCTTGCGTCACTGAGATACAACTCAACGTACCCAACCAGGTGCGACCGCCACCATCGACTTTTCTTCCATCACATCGACCGACTATATCGAATGCGAAAACTCGCACATGTTTTTCAACAAGTCCTGATCTGGCACGAAGTAGCAGCGACATTTGTAAAACATCGAGCACCAGCATTAATCAGCTTAGTTCCAGCTGTTTGCGAAGCGACCCCAAACCCATTCCCGACCCTCATTAGCCGAAAGTACGACAACACCACAATTCGAAGATACTGGATACAGGTAGTGCGACGCGTCTGTCAAACGTAAAGGACGTCTCTGCAGCAATCAACGGATCAAGAGCCTGCCATGGCACGCGACTCGGATCCCCCTCTTCTCGCCTACATCCATAATGCAAGATCCTACGCCGAGCAGACGAACGCGCTCCGTTCACTCAAAAACGACATCGTAGGCCATACTCGGAAGAAGGAAACATGGGTGGCGCTCGGCGCCCTTGGTCCGATCGTCAGTATACTACAGTCCAGCAGACTGCCAAACAAGGCCAATGGCGCGCGTACACAACCTCCCGCCGGCTCGTTAGCATTAGAAGAGGAGGAGAACGTAAGGTTACAGGCATTACAAGTGCTCTCCAGCTTTGCCAATGGTATGGGCATTGACTTAGGCGAGAACGAATCTTGCTTGCTGACAGTTAGCAGGCGGCCCATCATACATCGACCCCCTTCTTGCTGCCGACGCCCTGCCCGCCCTGCTGGCCAATACATGCCCCAACACCAACCCGCCGCTGGTGGTTGCGACGGCACTGAGAGCCTTGGTAAACATGACTGAAGCTGCCTCGCTTTGCGTTTCCACGCCTGCAGAGCTGCGTATACTGGCAGACGCCATCTTTGCTCCGGAAAGCATTGAAACACTGGCAAATATTCTGGCACAGGCGGGCCAATGGAGGTTAAATGTCAAACAGCAGCCAGTGTCATTGGTGACCACCTTGATCAGCCGCCTTTGCCAGGATGAACAGCACGCTCTAGCACTGGCTGATTCGCCTGTTCTGGACCTGCTCGCCAAAGAGCTGGCCAGCTTCGCTGTAGCTGATGGTTACGTGATACCGGGAGCAGAAGCGTTGGATGGGAGAGCCGAATATATTCCCCAACCGGCGCCCTCTGGATCTAATCTTGCATCCACCCTGGAAGCATTGACGACTATCGTGTCGGATTCGCGATATAGGGCGTGCAGGTTGCTGTGCTCGCCGCCCGTTCTTGCTGTCTTTCCCAATCTTCAGTTTTCACCATCCCCACTAACAGCTCGTCCCTGGTTCACTCTCTCAGCTAGCGACTTGAAGCAAATCGGTGCCATGGATACTCTGCTCCCACCAGTCCCATACCATCAGCAGCGAGGGACCTCACATGGGACATTCCCTTCTCTTGGTTCGCCTGAGTCTAGGGAGGGCGCCGTGCCGTTTTCTCGATCCGCGTCGAGCAAATTCAGCGATGGCTTGCCTGTAACCAACAGCTCTCGCCATGGTCCTTCCGGTCAGAATGGGACGTCCGATTCGGAAGACCTCGAAAGCCCTCTCATTCCATGGCTCATTGCCTTGTCCAGGAATCGAAGCGACCTGGAGCGGCTGATGGCAACCAGTCTATTGACATCTCTGGTGAGGTCAGGACTTGGAAAGCGGTCCTTCAGAGAGCCAAGCATCGGTCTACTCGTCGTGCCTCTCCTGTGCGAGATGCTCCATCACTATGAACGGGCGAGCTTCGCTATCGACCTGGCCTGCAGCACATCCCAGCTGGTCGATGCATCCGCTCCGCTGTCATGGGCCATCCGCGAACGAGCTCCAGCTGTCCTCTCTCGTCTCATCACGGACAGTGAGCAACTCCAAAAGGCGGCATTTGATTGCGGCGCAGTCAAGATTCTGAGCCGGTTGATGAAGGATGCCTACGAAGCGGTGCCGCCCACGGCGTTCGCGCGGCCATGGTCTCCAAACCCCGACACAGGTATGGACGTAGAGAGCAGCTCACCTTCATGCCGGCTCGGCGCCGAAGGCCAGCCTCCGCTACTAGCACACCGTATCAGGATGCGCGAGACCGTTCTCAAGGCCATAGGCGCTCTGGCGGCGGGTAGAGACGAGTATCGCAAAGCATTCGTTGATGCAGACATCGTTCCCTTGATAGTCCAATCTCTCTCCACAGCGCCCGTCAAGCCTTCCAACCCCAGGGACCGTGCCAAGCCCGAAGAAGCTGACGGGCCCGTCCCGGACACTGCAACCTCTGGATATGGGAGCAACACATTGGGCGTCATCATTGCCGCCTGTCACGCTGTTCGCATGCACTCGCGTTCTGTCAGCATCTTGACCCCCTCACTTGTGGACCATGGCGTATCGTTACGGATATTCCGTTATCTGAAACACCCCGACGTCGATGTCCAGATTGCAGCTACAGCAGCCATGTGCAATCTGGTCACCGAGGTCAGCCCCATGCGTGAGGTGAGCTTCATCAACATGACGCGCTCATACGAGTCCTTACTGACACATACTTAGATGCTTGCAGAAAGGGGTGTGATGAAAATCCTCTGTGAGCATGCGCATTCGCAGACAGCAGCACTACGACTCAATGCTTTGTGGGCACTGAAGCACTTTGTTCATGCGGCCGATCCCGACGTCAAGAAGTTATGTCTTGAGCAGCTCGAGCCAGGATGGCTTGTGCGCCTTATCTGCGACGACACGGAAGACGACGCCTTGTGGTCCGCCCGCGCCAAGACTGACACGCAGGGTGAGGTCGACAGTGGCGACGACGATCTTGACGGAGATGTAGAGATGGACCGCCATGATGGTCCCTCCAAGTCAATCTACGGCACCACGGGGCTTCCTCGTGACACGCACGGCCGACCAGCCGCCTGGGCCGTCCATGCTGAGACCAAGAAAGCAATCCTCCGCGACGCAGAGCTGAACCCTCAGCGCCGTGCACGGAACGACGATCTTGCCATCCAGGAGCAAGGCCTCGACTTCATCCGAAATCTCATCGGCGCCTCCGCAGCCCCTGCCTCCTCGGATCCGGCCACCGAGTCCACCGACATGATCGAGCACTTGTTCACCGAACTCGGCCAGGACCGCTTCTTCGACATACTCGCCAAGAAGCTGCAGGCCAAGGTCCTCCACCCAGCGGCCCATCGCCGCAACGGCTCGCCAGTCACCACCAACGAAGCCGCTCGCGTCCTCTACCCGCAGCCCAAGATTGTCGAGGCCGTCGTCTTCATCCTCGTGCACATGGCCGCCAGCACCCCGCGCCACCGCCAGCTCGTCATCGCCCAGACCGACCTCCTCAAGCTACTTGCCCGCCCACTTTGGGTCCAAGGACAAGGAGGTCCGCGTCGCGCTCTGCCACCTCGTCAGCAACCTCACCTGGCAGGACGACGAGACGGACTCGCGCCCCAGCGCGCTGCGCGCCCACGAGCTGCGCAAGCTCGGCATGCTCGGCAAACTCGAGACCCTGCTCGAGAGGGACCCGGAGCTCGACGTCCGCGAGCGCGCCAAGGTCGCCGTGTGGCAGATGAAGCAGCTCAGCTTCTAGGGAGCTGCCGGGGCGGCGTCTGCTTTGCGCGGCGTCAGCATGGTGGAATGCCTCGGCAAGGGTGGAGGGGACCATGCGTCCCCGGGACCGGGCAGGGTCTGCAGTCAATGGCGTTGGGCGCGTGAATCGGTCTGATGGAATCTATTGATAGGGTATATGGTATTAAGTAGGAATCCAGTCAAGCGAGTCGATTCATGAAAATTACGACTAGCTTTAGCGTGTGCTAGAATTCTTGTGAATGCAGGCAGGCACATCAGTCGTCGGGACATGTTACAGAGAGAGAGGAAGTTTTCTCTCAATAGACTGAAAAACATCTAAAACATAGATAGCAAGATATTCACATGTTCATTGACAGTCATAGTCTGGTTTCGTCGTACAATTGTTCATTAATCGTTGCCTATTATTACTGAGCTAATGGGAACCCGGCCTCATAGACGTGATCCAACTCCTTCATTAAGAGCGAAGTTATTAGTGGACACCGGATCGCGAAAACTTAATGTGCAAGTCATGACTATTGTCGTCTGCGTACTGTTGATACATTTGGTGTATGCTGCTTCCCAGGCAGATGTTGCTTAGACAGCCTGCTGAACAGGGGTCGCGTTGGTACCGTGATTACCAGTGTAGGCGGGGTCGCTACCAACGCCAGGGTGACCAACACCAGAGCCGACACCAGCGGGAGTGCCGGCAGGGCCCGTGGTAGTGGCGCCGACACCAGGAGCTGCCTTCTCGGGGAAGGTACCAGGTTGCTGAGGGACGCGGCCGAATTGAGTGAAGTGCAGGTTCAGGCGTCCATAGTCCCAACGACCGCTGAGGAAGATGAAGGCAAATGCAAGGACAGGCACCAGGAGCAGATCGAGGATACCGAACCAGATATTTGTACCGGGGACACGGATCTGGTATCCTGCATCCGTAAGAGCGAAGGCGAGAACGTAGAGGAACCAGAGAAAGTTGACGAAACCCGGCGAGAGCAAAGTAGTGGCCGCTGACACCGAGACGGGACGCGCGCGGCGACCACTGGTGAGGGTGCTAAGAGATAGCAGGAGCCAGGCCAAGGTGCCGAAGACGAAGAAGCCCCATTTGTAGTGCGTGTCGGTGAAGGCGCAGAAGAGATAGCTGGCGACCCAAATCCAGGACAGTGCGATGTGGTAGACAATGGTGGCCCAGGAGACGCCAGACAGGAGGTCGAGCGCCGTGATGACAACGGGGAACGCTACTGCCCAGTAGGCGTACTTGCCCCAGTAAATTTGGCGAATGTCATTGTTGTCCGAGTTGGCCTGCGAGATGAGTCGGTAGGCAAGGCCGGAAGCCATGGAGAAGTAGGCGATCGTGCCAGTGAGAAGAGCAATGGTGAAGAGGTAGTGGAAGATTCTCTCTCCATTGCGAGGCTTGAAGGACAGAGCGGCGACAGCGAGCTAATCGTGGTTAGTCTAAGCAAGGTGGCGCCGGGACCAGGCAAACATACGAAGGACACAAAGAAGATGGCCGTGACGGCAAACAGCCAGCTAGAGCCACCCTCAGACTGGTGGTCTTGGCCAGTGTAGGCGTTGTTGTAGTCAAGCGCATCGTTGCGCGACTCCAGGATCACACCCATGGCTATTATATTGTGTAGTTTGGGGGCGTACGAGTGGTTGTGGTCAAGGGCTGCTGCGAACGTCTGGTGTTTGGTGATACTCTGCTGCAGTAGAACGTATTTGGCGTCGTGTTGTTGATGTTGAGAAGAGGAAGGGCGAAAATCTCAGTAGAAGAAATCTCAGCGAGGTGGCCTTATATCAAGGGTAAGGGCAGGAGCCGGAGGTCCGAGGGAGTCGTCTTGCCTGCTCCTTCCCGTGGTTGTTACGTAGGCTAAGCCTAATGTGCACCTGCCTGACCAGGGAGGCATCAACAAGGTGAAGAGCATCTTGATTCGTTTGACTCTTGTCACTGCAGACACGATGATGGGTGCCAAGACACTGTTCACTGCAACGACACGCCCTGGGAACGGGAAGCTGCGGCTCACAGACATCAGGCCGGCTGTTGCGGCACCAGGGAAAGGCAGGACCACAGGCCATTGGTAGGACCTGAGCATCGGGATGTTGATGGTGAATCGTTGCCCACAGGTTTCTACATCTACAGTGCCTCAGGTGTGATTGCGTGTGATTCCTTTGCATATCGGAAGCTGGCAGGCACTTCTCGACTCATGCACTGCAAGTATCACGCCGTCTTGCCATTTTGCCTCGTGTCGTTTATGACCCCATCATTTTGCAAATCAAGGAGTCAAGGCGAGGTGTGCAAATTGAGGCCTCTCTGTCTACGCAATCACCTTGGTCATCATTACCCCTTCACCACCCATCATCATCACCAACGGGGCCGAGCATCTTGGCTCAGACTGACCTGGGTTTTCAAAGAGGCTGAACAAGCCTCATCACATGAGTGGCAGTTCGCCGTGCCCCAGTCAGTGACGCCCATCGGCCAGATCCCTGCCAGTGATCGACGCCGCATCCTGTCAGCTGCGTTTCATGTTGGGTCGAAGGAACAGAAGTGCCGGGCCCTGTCGTCTGAGACGGCGAGAGGAAACCGGCGACTCCAATCAATCTGCTTCCAACAGACGGCCTGTCCCCCAGGGTGGCCTCCCTGATGATGTGACTGGGAAATGGCCATTCCTGACAGACATCACTGTATTGCGGTCCAGGCCGAATAACTGAGTATCTCCACCCCATCGGCAAGCCATCGGACAAGGCCATCCGTCCATCGGTGGGCAGACTTCATTCATGTCGCGGCCTGACAAGGACCTTTGCCCCAGGGATCCTGGCTCTACAGAGAAACCCCAATCATGATGAGGTCATACCCAAGCACAGAGGCGAGATTGACCGCCACGTTTTCGCTTGTCATTGAACGACACGTCAAAAGCAACGACAGAGTGAAGCAACCAAGACACTGAGGCAGGCCTCTGAGACCACTGAAGGGCGAGAAGCGGCGCTGAGGGTACGGAAGCCGGCTTCACGTTGTTGCTGTAAGACAGCCTTACAGGGCCATCGGAACTTCCCGAGCTGCCTACGACAGGATGACGCTCAATTACGGCCTCGAAACCCGGGTATTGACCATATCACAGACGCCAGTGCTGTCACGAGGGTGCCTTCCTTCGCGCTGCAGTGTGTGACCTGGATGTATCAAGTTTTGCTTTAACGGTGCCCAATGCCTTCACGGGCTTTTACTCTGACACAGCGACATGGCATGTCTGGCTTAAATTTGATGAGCTGCACACGGACGAAAGGACTACATGCTGCAGCGGCCTCCAAAGGGGCTACTTGCGTCTCGATGGACTACGGGATGTGACCCTGGCGAGTTATCCACAAGTTAAGCATTCGGTGACGATTGGAACTGAGTCCGACCTACATCGTCTTGCGTCATACCTGTATTATGTTGATGCCGGTGGGGTTCTCCCAATATTTCTAGGCCGTTGGCATAAGACCGCAAAGTTCAACCGAGACAGTAGCTGGACACTGGGACTGATGAGAGTGAGGATTGGCCGAATTCGCCGACTGAATAGATTGGTCAGTAAAGTCTCTGACCAATCCACGCTGTCGCCTCGATCATTCCCTCACATCCTCCTGCGGGCTTCAATATCTGAACCTCCACATAGTCTTCCAGCCCCCGACAGTGTCAACTGACTCCAACCATGGTTTTCAAGTGTATATGACCTCTTCAACACTGACCGTTGTTATCTTTGCCTCATCAACCCTACTTTGGGCGTTCGGAATTACGTCAACCGGTTATCTCTCTATATTGTTTACAATGACTATTCAAGTATTGCCTCGAGAATCTAGTTGTACCACAATTAAATTCATATGGCACCAAGGCTCACTCCATCCTCCACGTAAGACTAATGGGGCCCGAAGTGGGCAGGCTCATAGGCATTGAGGGTTCAGCTTCAGAATCCGGGCAGCTGGTTTTCGACAGTGATGAACATAACCTACTCCTGATGAAGACAACCAAAGTGAGTAAACTTGACAAATCACGTAGCGATTTTATCGTTCACTTGTGACTGGGGAAACAACTGGCCCCTATGTACGCGCTCATTTTCGAGGTTACTACCGATAAGGGTAGTCTGGCTTTCCCCTAAGATCTAAATGCAACAGACTGTCCTAACTACGCATAATGTGCGATTCCCTCGCCATCAAACGGCCATAGTCTATCAACAAACTTCATCATGGAGTATTACTTGCGTGTCAGAAATGGTGTTGAAAAGGGGCAACTCCCAAGGTCAATTACAGCCTTGAACAAGTAGGGCTCTGTTACATTTGTAAACTGTAGAGTCTCTCGGCTCCTGTTATGTAGTCGCGATCGCTTTTGGCTACGACTGAAGTAGGTTTTAGATGTTAGATACAGGTTATTTGAAACGAGCTGGGAAAAGTTAAACTTTTCTTATGGGTAGGTAAGGAACACAGAAAACAATAGAGAATTCGGTCATGCCTAAGAGCTGTCATCTATAACGCAGGTGCAATTACTACTAATTGAAGCTTTCCCTCGGTAGAATTAATAAACAGATAAACAGACAAAGAGTCCTCGCCTAGGTTAACCTCAAAATATCAAAAGCAAGTGTTTGACTTGCCGATGAGCACTTGAGCTCCCCCCTTGACTAGGTTGCTCCATGACGCCACTCTTCCTGTTTGTCTCCGATCTTCAACGTTGAATGGCTCCTAAGAAATGCCAGAACTGTGATCCATGTTGCTATTTCTTTGGCTCATGGCAATTTTGAGATACTATATGTTTGAACAAATGACAGGAGACACCTAAGGAGCCATGGAGTAGGGGACCTCAGAGTGCTGATATAGAGGCTTAAGACCACGGCATCGCGTATTTAAGGGCTGCGGACGACCCTCCTAGCTGCGGTGAGCCAGGATTCAGATTCAATCTAACCCTCTGTCAACAATTGACCGCGAATGCGCCTGTAGAAGACCTCTTCTCTCTGCTGATCCCATCCCTCCGACAACAAATTTCCCAATGTTGTCGATGACAGCACAGTTAAGACTTGGGTTGATGCGTTGTAGATGTACGCCAAACAGACCGACCAACCCACGTTCCTGCTTTCAGAGTAGCAATCGTATGATGGACATACAGTAGCTAGTTTTGCCTCTACGTCTGTATTTCTGCATTGACTGCTTGTTGATGACTTTCTTTTGCTCTTCAAATCACGGACTGACTAACAAGAACCCTTGTGTCGATACTGATACTTGATCAAGATATTGAAGACCTCGACCGCAGCTCCTGAAAATACAACGGCCGCCAACACTTCGCCTCTGGCGGCGATGATATGCGTATTGCCGGGGGCTTCTTCTACCACCTTGAAAGCAGTGATGTAGATCCCAAGGATAGCCTCTAACGTCTAGCACATCCGCCCTCGCAAGGATTTAACTGGTTCAAGTCAATGCACAGAACTTTGAAGACCTTGCCTCGCCGGACACGCTAGCCCTTGACCTGTACCCGCCTATATCCCATATATGAAGCCTCGCAGAGAGGTAAGATCCACCTTTCGTGAATCTCACTAGTGAGAGTGAGGTAACCCGGTAAAACAGGTGCAGATTCTGACCTGTCCGGTCACAGAGACGATATCGGTGCTGATCGACTGTGAACTGTCAATTGTGGACTTCGCATGGCGTTCGGCACAAAAGGGGCCGGCTCATCGACGGAGGCCACCAGACGCAACATCTCGTTGTCTTACCATCTGACGCACCAGTTGGACCAGTTGGACGAAGTATCCCCTTGAAAGACCAAATCAATCAAGCTCTGGATCAGCGCGACTGATCTATTGAACAGCCATGTCACTCCAAGAGGAGCAGAGCTCTTTGCGCGAACATGCCGACACGATACCATGCTCGCCAACTCTCCGGCTTGCTGACAGTGTAAGGGACAATTGACACATAAGGCTGAGGAATGTGATTCTAGAGTAGAGTAGATATATGATCTAGCATGTGCTTCAACCGGACTTGATAGAATGTACCTCGGGTTGAGTGCACCCGAGGATATACATGCTACATAGTTGGCCAAGGTACAATAGCTGGTCGGACGTCTGGGGTTGGCCGATGCTCGTGCTTCTGTACTGCCGGATTGACTCTTTTCAACACGTTCAGCACTGCAGACCAACCCAGTCAAGAAGGGAATTGGCAAGACAGCCTGTCTTCCAAAGCCTCACCGCAGACAAGTGGAACAAGCTAATGAGCCGCATCCATTCAAGTTCCGTTTCTCTACTAGAATAAATTCAGAAAGAAACTATTACAGCCCAAGATTGTGTAAAGAGCTACATAGGTCCGTCAATTGCGTGGATGTAATGATACCAGCCACATTGAGTATGCGGCCCATGCGAGTGAAGCAGGAAGGCACTTAAGGGGCATCAACGACAACCCTTGCAGTGCTAGGATGGACTCTGGACTTGTTTGTAGAAAGCCAAGGAGTTTGACCAAGGTTTCCGTTGAGGACACTGATCGAATGAGACATCCATATGCCGAACGGCAAAAGGTCAAGGCATCTGACCGACTGCCATGAGATGAGGATTTGATACGCAGCCGCAGTCATTATCACAGCATCAACGCGTGGGCTTTCCTACAACACACAAAC